GAAATTTTTGAGCTGGCCAACTATTGTGTATTATTCATGTTAAACTGCATTAAAATAAAGTAGACTTCAGAATACTTATGGCCACAATAAGCATGGACTTATTTTTTAACTACTATTTTGCTTATTTTTTATTTTTTTCTTTGTATTGATTTGGTAAACGTTTGTAGGCTACTGTTAGTGTTTGCACTGCGATAACGTCATAAAAATCAGTTTTCTGCCCCTCTTCAGATGTGGGGGGAATCACTTATTGTTTATATATATTTCAACATTTCTGATTTAAGTTTGCCTTTTCTTAAAGTGCATTTTTAAGACCTTCCCTAATACCAAGTGGGGTTGTACAGTATACAGCAGACCCTTTAGCAATAATTATTTCTCAGCTCTTATGGATGCTACATACCTGTTTGGCTTGACATTTTAAAAGATAGATTTTCATAGTAAACACTGTTGGCTGTTGGAAAATGTGGATATTAAAAACATCTTACAGCTGGAGTTCACTTTTGCAACTTTTTTTGATCATTGATCACAATCTGACATTATTTAAAACAGTCAACTGGCAAAAAAACTGACAGCAGGGAGAAATGAGATAGAAGAAGGAAATCATATAGGAATTAACATACAAATACAGGAATTTATATTTATTTTTCATTATTTTGTATCCCTATAGTTCATGAAATGACTGAGAAATAAACCGAGGTAATATAAACAATTAGCTACATGATTACGACATGGAAGTAGGATGGGATACAATAGAAAGGGTTGAATAAAGATTTGAAATAAAAGATTGGCAGTTGGGGCAAATTGACCCAGAGCTGATCAGAATCATCAATGGAGATTAGATTTTGCTGTGTTGTTGCTGTGTTGTGTGCCTGTGCATAAAGCATTTTACAATAGTTCACATTCCATAGTATTATAGTAAGATTAAACGCTCTGATTTACTGCATGTCACGTCGTGCTCTTTGGGAGGTTTATTGGGTGTTTGGAACATTTTGTTCTGTGTGTGTCCTCAACAACTAAACAGCTCATTTCAGGGAACAGTTCGAGAATGTTAACATCTCGGTTCATCATAAATTGTTTTGCAGTAAAAGCCTCCACGCACTGTTCCCATCAAACATAATGCACCTGTGATGTAAACTGGCTCTATGTTTTTGTTATGGCGTTGAGACTTGGCTGCACTGCTTTTTCAGGGGCCACATAAATGAGGGCAATTAGGATACTAAGATCGATATGTAAACACTGAGATGAATGGATACAAATTTCTTCAATATCTGTCATGTATCTTTATTTGTAATGGCTTATGGTAAGATGGGCTGCTTTTGAGGGACTTTTTATTGAATTTGTTGGTGTAAAAAAAAATACCAGGGTTTAGTAATAAAAAGAATTTTAATTGAATTTTGAGTGGGATGAGCACATTCTTCTTATAAAGACACTCTTAGGATGTCGACACCCACGTTCACCTTAATTGTCTTGAATTTCTTTACCAAACTGTAGAACATGGTTTAAATTTTCTTTTCCTCTCACTCACTGTGATATGAAGAATGTTCAGCTGGAAAGTGAAGCTGAGCCCATTGGTTCTGCAGGCTCCTGCGGAGCCATAAGGCCTGGAGGTAAAGTAAAACCAGCCAGAGTTGGTAGATAACTCACTTTTCCATCAGCCTACTAAGCATTTTTTTCTAATGGGGTCCCAGTCTCACCCAGGAGCTGAGTGGATGTCTTGTATTCGTTATCACCAAGTCATGGCACTCTACTATTTTTCAAATACCAGCACTGTAACTGATCTCTGGTAATTCATGCTTAATTTAGATATCAGAAGTGACTTTGAACGTGGTGGCGTGGGGTGCTGAAGGGATCATGTTTGATTGGGTTTGATAAAACTCTAATCACAGTTCACAAAAAGGAGGGAAAAATAACAACCTTCATTTGCTTCTGATGATTTTGCTTTTATGGAATTTATGGCCCCATGCTGCTGCTGTGTAATTGCAGTCAGGACGTAATTAATCTTTGATTGGCCTTCTGCACCAGAGCTGTGGATTCTTGTAACTCTGTTTCTGTCAAGGAGTCTATTCATGCATGAGCCTGCAAGGAAGGGGACAAAAAAGAACCTGTAAATATATGCAGTGGCATGCAAAATTAGCTTTAACTACTGGACCCTTCACATTGTCAGTATATTTTATTGGGATTTTATTATCTAGAACCAAACAAAGTATCTAAAATGTATAGAGTTTTTTCTTTATAACCCTAAAAATTCCAAATTCCCCATTGAAATTAAGAGGTCTCCTGTTTGATAAATATAATCTTGTAAATATTTCTAATCCAGACTAGGTTGGTCTTTAAAGGCCTCAGAGGGCTGGGAAAGAACATTCTTAAAAAAACAAAAACATCTTTAGGGTAGGCCTTTATTTTCCCCTTCCAAAAAAATCTTCCTTTTTTGAGAGCAAACTTCTCACTCAACTGTAGTTATGATGTCATTAGCTGTTTTGTGTGATGGTGTCGTTTGCCAAACTGCAACCTGAGAGTAACGCTGCAGCTACAGAAACTCCTGGGAGCCAAAAATGCACTGTATACAAAAAAAAAAAAAAAGATTTTTTTATTTATTTATTTATAATTTTTTTTAACTCCCGCAACAACAAAAATGTAATTCATTCATTGAATCATTTTTTTGCCCAGTCCTACTCTATGGTCAAGGAACACATCAGACAGTTGAGGGAGAACATTGTAAAGTGTTTTAAATCAGGGTTAAAATTATTAATCAACATCCTGACTATTATTATTTTAGTTTCAAGAATATATAATACACCATGAAACCAAGAACTACTATGTATATATAATGATAAGCGGTGCAAGAACAGTATTATTTTTGTTATTGCCTATACAACATATGGTATTTGTAATCGTACTCAGCTACAGCCAAAACTGCACGACAAAACCACAGGCTTTAAAAGTTCACAGCTTGGAATATCTGATGCTACCGACTGCTCACACTGTACGTCCAGAAACTACACATCAGAGTAAGAGAAATGGTGCTGGTCAGAATCGTCTATCCGGAAGTAAAATCGAGGAAGAAAAATGTTGTTTGCACGTGTGCAGTGTGCAAGGTTGAGGTAAAACGGCTAATAGACACGCGTAGTTCTGCTTCAACAGCACAATACGCGCATGATCACCTCACAAGGGCCAACTGAATTTCAAACATCTTGGATTTCCATCCAAACTTATGATTCCTGATCATGAGGGGGTGGTGAGAAGCTAGTGGCCCGTTGTTATCCCTTGTATACATGACACAGGGTGAAGCTGAAAATCAAGCCGATCCCCCAAAAAATTCTTGCACAGCAGAAAAATGGACCCAAAAACAGCTAAATATGGTACAGTGTCTGCCCAACCTAACAGGCCAACTACTAATGAGAAGCACATTTCCCTTTGTGGAGGAATTGTTGAAATAAAGTCATTTTATCTCAAATTTAGCCAAAATGAAACATTTTTGGCCGGCATTAATGAAACTGTGTGCAAAAGAAAACATTGTTTATCGCTTTGAGGATGCCACCACATGGTGAAACGTGTTGGTGGCGGCATCAAGCTGTGAGGATACTTTTCTTCACTAGAGGAGTGTAAGCTAATCAGATTGGTCAAATTTTGTTTCTACTTTAATAAATTTGCTTTAAAGTTTGTTGATCATTTAAAATTGAATAAAAAAATCTGAATTCTAACTTTATTAAATGAGAAACCAGTTCAAGAGGCTTGGATACTTAAAATTTCACTGTGTGAAAAAAACATTTCATTGGAATTTTATACTGTCAGGCTTCCGTGTACTCCTTGAAACTTAATTATTTTTTTATTTCAAAATCATTTCTACTGCACTATTTCCCATGCTACATGTTTTTATGTGATCCTATATTAAACATTAGAGGGTAGTCCATATTGGTTCTAATTGGTTGCCTGGACAGAAGCCTGAAGGTTTTTCCCTCTAAGCAGTGAAAATGATTGCCTTGCTCCAAAATGCATTCATGTTTCCTCCTAGCTGTGTGCTACCAAAAGGCTCATTTGCCTCCACTGAACAGCTCGTTTCATGCACAGAAGGGCACTCTGAAAAGCAGAGGCACTCACACAAGGACACAAACTGCAAGGCTATTAAAGGACTCGATTCAAAACAATGGCTTGTGTCATTTTAGTGTGCTGCTCAGTGCAGCTGGCAGCACAGTGACCACTCTGGTCTTTGCACACATACACTCACATACTGTAGACACACACCTGCGAAAGCAAAGGTTAAATCATGCGTTGACCTTCGGTGTACACTTTTGCTGTAAATCTAAACTCCTTTAGGGTTTGTAAAAATTCAGGCTGTCGATGCAAAAACAACAGAAGCTTCCTAAAACGAAACAGCTTTTGGCTTTTTCAATATTCTCTAAGCCTCCGTAAGGCAGGAAAGATGATACCCATTTGGGACTCATTGGAGCAAATCAGAATTGTCAGCACTGTGGGTTTTTACCTTTTAAACAGGAAAGATGGATAGATAATCACCACATGCCATTCTGGGGGCCAATTACACAGCTTTGTGTGAAATTGGAAAACCTGTTCTTTCAGAGCCCTAATGGATGTTCTGGTCATTAGTTATTTGAGAGTCTTCTCTGGCTGTAATCAAATGTGAAGCATTGCGTTAAGCGCCCATAAAGGAACAGCTGCCTCTCTAAGTGACCTTCTGTTTAAGAGAACCCAACTGTCAGCCGTATGGTGTTTTGTGACAATTATTATGTGTATATTCATAAAAACAGCCCTTTTCGCAGTGGTTGCATCTCATTTTTATGACTTGCTCTTGGTTGTATTTGCTTTTCTTGGTCTGTTAAGTTGCTATGAGCCTGTCACATACTGTATATCTGCGTGCCTTAACCATCTGTCGTCTCTCAACTCAGGATTTTCAAAGTAAATGTGCAGATATTCGTTCGCTTCTGATTTGGATCCTGATATAAGTATGTTAAATGCTATTCTCTTGTCTGTCTGATGTTTGCTTTTAGGTGACAATCTGACTAGTCAACAGGCCCCGCCTCCTATCCCACCTGCACCACCCCCACATAAGCAGCACCCGTCAATTACCTCCCTGAGCCGGAGCTCACTGGCCAATCAGAGGAGCCCGAGTCCACCCCCCACAGCCGGCCTGGCGGCTGACTTGCAGAGTACGGCGGAATGCGTCCAGCTGCAGGACAGCTGGGTGCTGGGCAGCAATGTGGCCCTGGAGAGCAGGTGAGTGACCCGCTCGATAGCACAACTGGAGAAAAAGGTCCATATGTCAAATTCAATGATTAAGAAAGCTAATGCCACAAAGATGAGCCGAAGTAAACTTTAAGTACCGTATTTTCCAGACTATAGAGTGCACTTTAAAAAAACAAACTTGAAACGTACATATAAAAGCCACACTGGGCTATAAGCCGCTGATATTGATCTTCAGGAGTTGAGCCAAGTCTCTTCATTGTTCTGCATTTTAATGCAGCAAATAAATGTCAAAATACGTGAATTTGGGACATTTGTTCTCCGTCATGCCTGCTGCATGTTGTGCTAAGTAAAAATTAGCTCCTTATTCTTTAATTTCCAACTTTGACTTCCCCTTCTGGCGGTTAGGAAAAATCCACAGAAAAGCCTTTCTTTCTTATAAGCCACATGGTTCAAAGATATAGAAAAAACATTTAATTAATTAGGTATTAAATAGTTAGGTTTTGTTTAATATTAACACGTTTAACTTGTTTAATACATAAAAGTCATTTGTATTTATTGATACCAGAAATTAAAATCTGAGGCAGCACAGTGATAACATTTGTAGCACTGTTTTGCAGTCTTCCACTAAAAAGATGCTTGGTTTGCATCCTAACTAAAGGATCTTTATTGCACCACCTCCACATGAATGCATGTTCTTTGGCTTCATCCCACAGTCCAAAAACATTACTGTTAGGTTAATTGACTACTCTAAAATGCCCTTTGGTGTGTGTGTGTTACACTGTGAAGGACTGGGGACTTTTTAAGGCTTGACCCAGCCTTTCACCTACTGTATAAGCCTGTGACCCTGATAAGCAGTAGGAGATGGATGGAAAATTTAAAAAGCACTGCAGAGAAATTATATTTCATTTTTTTTTTTTGCTATTATTCTTTTTTGTGAAAAGTCATATTCTTAAAGAAAATATGTTTCTCAACTTCCTATTTTTTTTTATTTTATTTTTTGCATCGTTTGGCTTATTTATTCTGTTTCTGCATCCATAAACTCTTCTCTTTAGTCTTTACCCAGTGACAGCTCATAATGTAGAGCCAGGGCTCCCAGTTTATCAGACTGGAGGCATTTTTCATGTCTCTCTCTCTCTCGCTTAGCAAGAGCAGAATAAACTGCTGTAAATAAGTTAGTCATTCATGATTTATGCTCATCATTTTGCACTTCTAAAACTGGAATGCATGGACAGCTTTTCAGCATCTGAGCCAAGCACAGACTCGGATAAATGTAATTTTGTTTCAGAAAAATTGTCCTCTTACAACTTAAGTTGTTTTAGGGTTTTATGCTATAGACTGACTTTCAAAAAGTGAAATGATAATTTTTTATCCCATTTCCCTGATACCCCTAATAAAATACTGTATCACAAATGCAGCGACAAGGTCAGATTTTCTACAAAAAAATAGTAAGTCAAAAACGTGCAAGAGAAACTATGGTGTAAAAGCTATTCAGAGAAGAAGCTATGAAATCAACAGTCACTCTGGGAGAACTGGGAGAATGAAAGCTATTAATTGTGTTCTTTAGAGTACGAGTTTTTATGGTTGAGTGTTGACTGAAACCCATAAAAAATCATTGTTTGTAGTTTGTAACAAGTCTTTTGGCGCACATAGAGAAAATCTACAGAGAAAGTGCTGCGTTCAGATGAGATAATAAATTTACAGTTTTGGCTTAGGATAGGCAATAATACCTTCAAGCCAAAACAACCCGGGTTCTTGTCACAATAATGTGTCTATGAAGAATAAACTCGGGAGATCTGAATATAAACGAATTGCATTTGATTTTAGAAAAGCATTTCTATTTTAAACATTTTTATTGGTTTTGTTTTTTCACAAACAGAAAAAAAAAAATAGAAAATTGTACACTGTGTTTCCTATCATCTTACATGAGCATGTGATACAGAGCAGGAACAAACCACTAAACAAATAAATAAATAAAAGGAGCCGCTGTACAATGTCACATTCACGTCAAATCATGTCTAGAAATGCCTTTCTAAAAACAATGGACACCTTTGTCATATTCTGTCAATTATAATATTAATTACTGTTAAGAATTTCACACAGACTGATGTTTTACACCCTTTATTTTCTTTATTATAATGTTTTGGGTTTTTTTTTGCCAACAGCTGAT